TTTCATAATTACTATACTTTTTTTTGTAAATACTATACTTTAAATCAAAACTTTAAATAGCTCTATAAATAGGTAGCAATGACTCATTGTTGTCTTCATTTCCTTTGAACTCCTATTTATTTAATATAGAATAAAAAATATAGAGATCTAACTTCAATTGTAAGTTCAATTGTAGTTAACAGATTTTACTTCCATTATATATTACAGGGTTAGGCGGAAATATAAATTATTCGTAAATAAAAACTTTAATATAAATACTGTCTTACAATAATATACTTTTTTTAATGTAAATATAAATATTTTCATATATTATTTGCGTTTAAGTCATATTTTATTTATTTATTTAGTTTCTTATTTAATTTTATATTTTCTTTTTCCGTATTTCAACAACAGTTCGCCTATTTACTTATGTTTGCTAGATGCTGAAAAAGCTTTTGACCGTTGCAACTGGAATCTTCTCTTTGATAAACTTTACTTTGATAAAAACCTACCTCTCCAAATAGTTTACACATTATCTTCTTTTCATCACAACAGTAGCGTAACTGTTTTTTACCTTGGCTCCACTACAGTTTCATTTGCTCTTAAGCAAAGTGAATAGCAAGCATCAATTTTGTCGCTCCATTTTTACGATATATTATGATATATACCCAAAACTTACTTGACACTATAAAAAAAGATAATACATGGAAATTTTACAGGTGTTGTTACTTATTCTGACGACATCATTTTGCTTAGCTCTACTCTGTCTGGTCTTAGAAGGCTTATTACAAAGTGTAACGATTACAATAACTTAAACGCCATAAAAGTCGATGCATTCAAAACGGAACTTTTGCTCTCCAGAAAACGACAAGTAACTAATTGAAAGATAACCCTGAGAACCATCAAATAATACCAAATGAAAAACTTAATTATCTGGGTTTCATGTGGGATACAGAAAAATCCAATTTAAGATTAGTTGTAACAACTGTAAGTAATTTAAGATTAGTTGTAACAACTGTAAGCCTACAACAGTAATTTGTATAATCCACTGTATATGTGTATGTGTGTGTTTAAGGTATGATTTTTGATGAATCAACACTGTAAGTATCGGACGGTAATTGCCGCTATATAAGAAGAAGAACAGGAGAAGAATTTCTTTCACAGGGTCTGGTGAAGAAGGTCAAACATTCAACTAAAGTTATGGTTTGGAGTCTAATATCTTTAAGTATATAATAGCCTAAAGAACCTGGACGTCTATACATTGTAGATGGCATGATAAACGCTAAACAAAAAATGAAAGTTATAAGACCTTGTCTGATTCCTCAACTAGAGTACTGTTTTCCTGATGGAACTGCATTTACATGAAAAATGGGGCACCCTGCCATTCGGTAAACAATATCAAGGGTTACTTTGTTGACATTGGTATGGAGGTGATGCCCTGGCCGGCAAGTATTCCTAACATGAACCCAATCGAAGGGATATGGCATAATTTGAAAGACAGAGTAAACGAGGTCACCCCCACTAAAAAACGTGAGGGTTTTTAAAACCTCAACCTTTAGTTAGTTTTTTATTTTATTTCAATATTTTTTTTTTTTTTTTTTTTTTTTCAAAAAAACGAGGTGATGCAAAATAAGCTGGCTGTACTGGATGAATTTTTTGTTTATTGTTATGCTTTCGTTATTTTCATTAATTTCACGTGTACCATAAAAATAAATCGCTGAAAATATTTGTATACGCTTTTAAAGTTGATTAAAGTAATGTTCTTGTACTGACCTCATTTTAGTTTTCTAAAAATTTTGGTATATAACAATTAGTATTTTTACACTATTTTTCTATTTCCTGGAATAATAGTGAACTTTATTATATATATATATATATATATATATATATATATATATATATATATATATATATATATATATATATATATATATATATATATATATATATATATATATATATATATATATATAATATATATATTATATA